ACTATCTTCCTTGCATTCAAAGCTTCACTTTGTTTCTTTCTGCATCTCGGAAATTCTGAAACCGATTTCAACCACCAGTCTTGGTATCTCTGAGTAACAGAACCTCAAGGAAGGCGAGAAGGCATGCAAAGCTTTAAACCATTAAGAGACTTGTTGGAATCATCCCAAGCTTCCTTTTCCGTGTAGTTGCTATGTCTGAGTAACCAAACCAGGAAGATCTTGATTCAAACCGAACTGCAATTCGGGTAGTAATTCTCCACAAAACCATTACCAGCAAGCTGAGAAACTCTCACACATTTGGCAAAAGAAGCAAACTCATCATCAGGACGCTAATCGAAATCCTCAATCCTCAATCTCACCTTCTTGCTCTGTACAAGAGAATCCCATCCAGAAATGACCAGAGGTTTGCCTTTTCGTATCTCTCTAACATTTGGTCTCATACCCAAACTTAAACAAAGACTTCATCATGCTAACATTCTTATCACATTCCTCTACTGCCACATCACGGATTCGATCCAAATCGCAGGAGAAAGAGCCATCTTTTCGCCTCTAGCGATTGAGATAACATCTTTGGTAACAGAACGATGGAAACACGAAGTGAGAAAGCCACAATATAAGAAAAGCTTCATGCTCCAACTTATCTTCGAAATCCATCAACTTTGACTCCCACGACACTGGAGCTTCACTTGGTACAGTTTCACCACGGAATCTCTCATCTCTGAGCTAATTACATCCTCTAAGGTAATTGTTTTTTTTTTTGTTTCTATAAGATGTGAATATTATTATTATCAAAAGGAAAGTTTAATACAAGAGCTAAGTAATTAGCATACAACTTCTTTGACCCAAAAAAAAGAATAAAAAGCCGAAAAGAAGTTAAAAGTTGCTACAGCTCAACATGGGAGCACTTAGCTATACGTAAACCATTGAGAGAGGAGACCACTACAACCTTTGCGAGTAGAGTATCCCTTAGGTTCGGTCAATTTGTTGGAAGATACTATTCGGTGGCAGAGATATTGAGTTATGTTCCTCTCTTTCCAAAGAGTATAGACAGTTGCTTGAGCCGCAAGTCGTTTCAGAATTGATGATTTACCATTTCTGGAAGGTAATTGTTGCTTTACCAAAAGGTAAAAAGGAACGATTTTGTCTCTGCAACAGAGAGAATCAAAGACTGGTTTTTAGTAATTTGTAAGTCGATGCTGCATCAAAGATCCCACCTTTCTTCAAAATGTGTTCTGGTAAAGAAAACCAAAACCCAGAAAACGAAATCCTTGACGACAATTTCTTTAGCTAGTTAAAAAATAATTTTTTATCAAAATCGGCGATCCATTTGCGACTCTTTTATTAACTGCAAAGGTTGAAACTTTACTTGTACTAACTATTGTACTAATCATTTAAAAAAAAAATTGAATAAATTATTTTGCTTCTTCAAAACAAACCCCAAAAATCTATTTAAAAATTGATTGTCAAGAAGTTAATTTTTTTTTAGTTGGAAACACAATTAGTTACCTATCTGGTATGGTCAATCCATCAAATTTACCTTTTAACAAGGTTGTTCTAACCAAGAAAAGATGCAATCCACCAAAAATGTTATAACAAAACAATGTGCAAAAAAATTAAAAAAGTCTTAACAGACTAGCAATCAAGTATTTAACGTATAACAATTATAACAGTGAAAGATACATTACTTAATCCTAATATATAATGTATTGTGCATTACTAAACTCTTTTTTGTGACTTTTCAGTAGATTTCTGAATAGCAAAACACTTGCACAAAAACAATGTTTACATTTAGCTAATTGAGTGATCTGTTGTTGCTTTATTTTGCTTCATGGTAACTTCCTCTTGGCTTTTTACTTTTTTTTTTGGGCCAAGAAGTTTTAGGCTAAATAGCTCTTGTAATTCATTTTCTTTTTGGTAATAATATATATTCACATTTTATTAAAAAAAACAATGTTTACTTGTAGAAAACATGTCAGAATACTAGAGGTTATATGGTACACACATTTTCATCAATCGTCCTACAATTTACATATGTGTACATATATAAGTAAAAGTGTGTTTAGTAGATATGCTACATAGCACAAACAAACAAACCTCGTCATCATTGTATTTCTCAAGAGCGAATATGGATAACCTCTCTATCAATTCCCCGTTTGTTTCTTGTTATGTAGCATACTCGGTATCCTCGAAGTCGACAGTGATTTGTAAAAAAAGACCACAATGTCTCCTACTTTTCAGGAAAGAACAAAATCACAAATCATAAATCAAGTGAAAACCTAAAGAAAAAGAAGCGGGAAAAATGTTTCATTATATTTCCTTTTTCGATTTTTAACCAAATACGAATGGGTCCCACTTTTGACTTTCGTAGCACGTACCAAAGTTTGTTGGTGGTACATGTTAATTATACCAAAACGGACAAAATAATAAGTTTAGGGCGTTGAATGTTGGTTTTGTACTTTGTATGGTTTCGGTTTTGGAATCTAGCTAATCTTTTAAATGATCGTATCTACCTAATCTTTGAACCAAAACAATTGTGTGAGCTCCTGATTTTGTATGGGCATGTCATATTTTCATTTCTTGCTGAACTCACGAATAATCCTTACTTTTATATCATTATTCGATTTTGAGTTGGAAATACTAAATTACCTTTATGGCCATTGTGTAATCCAACATGATTATCTCTCGCATGGTCTAACCAACAAAACATTACTACAAACCACGAAAAATATAAAAAGTCTTAGCAATCAAGTACACAAGTTAGATATTCACATGATTTATAGCAATAACAACTAAAGATTCACAAGTTTCACCTATAAACTCTTGGCATAGAAGCTAAGTCCTTCAAAATTCGTTGCTTGTCTTTCGCATCAGATGATCTAGAGTAGATTTTCGCCGTTTTCAAACATATGGCATGATTCAGGAGATATCTCGCAAGATACCTCTCTCCGTATCTCCCCGTGTATCCTCTCCAATCTAAATCTTCAAGACTGTGCAACAAACATTCAGGAACACACCTCGGCGGATCCCATCGATCCAAAGGAGCTAGTTCGTAAATCTGCAAGAAGAAAGAGTAATGAAAATGTAACTAATAAGATCATTGAGTTC